TCTTAGAAGTTCTTTCTGAGCTGTGGCATTGTCTATGTATACAAAGGGTGTTGACTCTTGTGTGTTGATTTCATATCCTGCCACTTTTACCAAACTCATATTTTATAAGTTTCAATAGTCCTTAGTGGAGTCCTTTAGATCCGCTATATATAGAATCATGTCATCTGCAAACAGAGATAGTTTGACTTCCTCCTTCTCAATTTGTATACAAGGATACTTTTCAACAATAAAGTAAATACTGTATTCTGCATACTGCAGATGTAGTGTAGCATGGTGTTATCAACCTCCTGGCTCATATACTCACTGTGTGTCCTCCTTGGATAAGCTGTTTAACTTTCCTATACTGTCACTTCCTCTCTGTAATGGGCGTATGTGTAAGTAGCATCTGTGTAAGTTCCTGTAGTTCAGGGTCAGCAAACTATATTCTGTACCAGACCTGGCTCACCACCTGTTTTGGTAAGTAAAGTTTTTTTGGAACCATTTCTGTGTCATCCATGGCCACTTTCAGACTGTAATGGCAAAGTCAAGGAATTCCAGCAAAGAAGTTGTAGCTCACAAACAAAGAATATTCCCTACCTGGTCCTTTGCAGAAAGTGCCGACTGCTGAACTGGACCCTGGGACCTCTATTGTCTTGTCAAAATCTGAGGTAGGAGTGGGCGTTTGGCCTGGTGTTCAGACCCTGCACGGGATGCCACGTCTCACATTGGAATGCCTGAGTTTGGGTCTTGGCTGTGCTCCTAATGCCAGATTCCCCTGAATGTGCACCCTTGGAGGCATCAGTGATGGTTCACACTGGGTCTCTGCCACCCACATGGGAGAACCAGATTGAGGTTCCAGCTTTGCCCTTGGCCCAGTGCCAACCATTGGGGTCATTGAGGTGAACCAATTGATGGGAACTCTGTGTGTGTGTGTGTGTGTGAGTGTTGTGTGTGTGTGTGTGAGTGTGTGTGTGTGTTTCTGTCCATCTATGTTAAAAACCTACCCTGTCATAATTCTGGGGTCACATAATGACTGAAGATCTGGCCAGGAAACAGGGGTGTCTGCAGAGCTCACAGGAAGATGGCCATGTTCATGTTTGGTCTCTCTTAGAAGCAGTTAGGAACCTGGAATGGAGCAGCCCTCTTATCCAGGGGTTCTACATCCAGGGACCCAACCAACTGAACCTACTCCCAAACAACTACTTACATAGCATTTACGTTGTGTGGGCTGTTACAAGTAACTAGGGATGATTGAGCGTATGCAGGAGGGTGGCGGGGGACTGTGCACACCTAATACACCATGTTATCCCGGAGACTTGAGCATTTGTGGGTTTTATCATCTGTGGGGGTCCTGAAGCTGTCCCCCTCCACTGCTGGGGACAACTGCAGCTGAGGTGTTTAAATGCCAGGTGTCTGCTGAATTGACCGGAGATCTTGAAATCCATGAAGTCTGGTTTCCACTCAACTCTGGGAAGTTGATATTGGGGCCTGATGGGAGCGACCTTGCTGAGTCTCATCTAGTGGGTAGAATCATGGCTGAGGCACAAAACAAGACTGAAGAAGAAACAGAAGAGAACCGTATTCCCTGTGGATTTTTGGATCTTTGAAAAGGAAGCCATTGTCACCTCCCTGTGTGCTGAGTGGACAGTGAATTGATGTGGGCAAGAGTGGGCTAATCGGGGACCCCCAGAGAGAACAAGGCTAATCCAGGCAGACCCCAGTGTGAGTGCAAGGAGAGAACCAGCAGGATAAGCCAGCAGTGCTGCTTCATGGAGGAAAACTGTCCTCGTGCTTTAGGTGGTCTGAATCCTGAATTTAATCACCCCTGAAAATCTAGATTATTTGAGTCAAGTCCAATTTATCTAGAATGATTTGACTCAAACCTAACTTTTTCCCACAACAACATCTTAACTGCAGATCCAATTCTTGGTCAAGTGCATGGTGTCTTCTCTAAAAAGAATTGGAAATGACCATCAACTCAAGAATTTTTCTGGAATCAAAAGCTTGCTGTAGATCCAGCATTGCCACGTAGGGGTTAAGCACAGGAGACCTCCAATCAAAGATCGGTCTCAGATCCTGGCTGGGCCACTGCTCCTGTCCTGGTCTTTAGCCCTTAATGTCTAAGCCTTGATTTTCTTATCTATAAAATGGGACTAATAAAAGCAGTAACTTGACAGAGCTTGGGTGAGAATTAGATGAAATAATCCAGGTTAAGTACAAATATACACTCTGTGGATGTTAGCCCTTTTAGCTTGGGTAAAATAGAGCAACTAATCACACAAAATATTTTTAACCAAATAATAACTTTGTTCTTATATTCTTCTTTTATATATGTATAGTCTTGCTTATTTTGAAAGCAGCAGAGGTGAAAGTAGATAAACAAAAATCCTTTACTGGGGTCTTGGACGTCAGAAAGGTAGCTCAGGGAACATTTTTACGGGGCAGCGTGGTAGTTAGGATCTAGGTCAACGTGCTGCCCAAACAGACGCAGGACACACAGTGACAGGAAGGAGAAGGTGTCGCTTCTCCTGACACATACGCACGACATCCGGTCGTCTCGGTGCTGGACACAGGGCCGCCCACCGTTGGAAAAGAGCCTGGAAAATTGGACTCTCGCTAGGCAGGCTGCTCCCAGATTCTGAGGGTCCTGTTCGCAGGGCCAGGAGGGCCTGCTCACAGTAGGAAGTCCACAGATAAGGCGAACGGCCTGTGTGCCCCAGAAAGCAGAGAGGGCTTTACATGCTGCCCCCACGGAGGAACTATGAGTGTGTGAGGAGAGAGTTGTGCTTACCCTCGTGTGATCATAGACAGCGAAATGTGCATTGAAATATCACAAGGCACCCACTAAACATGTCAATTAGGAAGAAAAGGAGAGGAGGGGGAGGGGAGGGGAGAGAGGAAGAATCCCTAGCAGTCTTCCCTGGGCACTGTCATGGGAATTACTGTTGTTTCCTTGATGTTGATTTTTTTAAAGATTTTATTTATTTATTTGAGAAGTAGAGTTACAGACAGTGAGAGGGAGCGACAGAGAGAAAGGTCTTCCTTCCGTTGGTTCACTCCCCAAGTGGCTGCAACGGCTGGAGTTGTGCTGATCTAAGCCAGGAGACAGGAGTTTCTTCCATGTCTCCTACGTGGGTGCAGGGGCCCAGGGACTTGGGCCATCATCTACTGCTTTCCCAGGCCACAGCAGAGAGCTGGATTGGAAGAGGAGCAGCCGGGACTAGAACCGGGGCCCATATAGGATGCTGGTGCCGCAGGCAGAGGATTAACCTACTGTGCCACAGCACCGGCCCCTCCTTGATGTTGATTTTTAAAACACATAATCATTGTGTGTTCCACGAAGCAGATAAAACAATACTATTTGGACTATGACACATTGCTGTCCTGTCAGTCCAGTTATAGGATACGTCCTAATATGAGAGCTGTTAATTACAGAGGAAAATGTCTGTGTAGAAGAAACACAGCACTGGGAAGACTCAGGAAAACAAGGTGATATACTAAAGATACTCATTTGCAGTCTTGTGTGTGTCTTTCCCTGGTGCAGGCGTAGGCAGGGGCTAACTAACCTGCCTCGTTGAGTCTCATCTGATGGACAAGTCGCCCTCAGTGGGAGTTTACTCCAAGTCACGGGTTTGTGGCTGCTCATGGAGAAACTTTTGGCACAAAGGCTTGGGAAATGTGCGAGATTTCCACTGCATCTGGGCCAGAGCTGGAGTGGGGTAAACAGACAGAAGGGGGTCCTGTCTTCTGTGCTCAGAATTCCTTCTTCATAGAACAGAAACGGCTGGCATCCTGCTGAAGGGGCCCCAGCTTCCTGTTTCCCAGATGGTTCCTGAACACCAGCCACTTTGCCTGGCGCCACAACACAGTCCCCAGCCCACCAGGCCTCGGGAGCTCCTGAGGGCGAGAGAAGTAGACCCTTGAGGCCTGCCGTCGTGTGGGTGCTCGGTAGGTTAGAGGTCCGGGGAGCAGAGGGGCGGAGCCACAGTTCGGTCCGAGGTGAGGAGAGACCTCCCTGGGGAGGTGAGATCAGGGGCAGGGAGCTCGAGGACCTCCACACGTGGGGGCAGCCTGTGCACGAGGGAGGGTGCGGCTCTGGGTGCTGCAGGGGGCAGGGCTCTGCGGCCTCAGCACACTGAGCCAGGTTTGCTCTGCAGCTCTGTTTGGCTAACAGCAGTATTTTGGAATCAAAATGAAGAAAGGGGCATCTTTAACGGCCAAATAGAGGTGTTTTTTCCTTAGACCACATTTCCTTCGACCTAAAGGAGCCGGATTCCCATGAACGGGCGAAAGCAGAATCCTACCTTTGGTGCTCACTCTTGTACTTCATGTTATTTTGTCAAACTAAGATTCGAGGACCGAGCCCAGCCCTGTGGCACAGCAGGTTAAGCCACAACCTAAGAGCTGGCATCCCACAGAAGTGTCAGTTCAAGTCCCAGCTGCTCTACTTTTAGTCCAGCTCCCTGCTAAAGTGCCTGGGAAGGCAGCAGAAGGTGGCCCAAGTGCTTAGGCCCCTGCACCCACGTGGGAGACCCTGATGGAGTTCCAGGCTCCTGGCTTTGGCCTGGCCCAGCCTCAACCCTTGTGGGTGTTTGGGGTGTGAACCAGCTGATAGAACATCAGTCAGTCTCTTTCTCTGTCTCTCAGTCTGTCTTTCCCTCTCTCTCTCTAACTCTGCCTTTCAAATACATAAATAAATCTTTTAAAAAAAAGGATTTGAGGACTAATGTAAAGACACTTGGCTGAATTTCACCTGCTGCTTTTTCCCCAATTCAAAAATGTTCCCGTAGATTCGCTGTGGAGCATGGGTTTTTTCCCTGTTGACTTGGGGGAGTCCAGCTGAAAGTACTGCCGTTACCTTAAGCGCAGATCCCTGGGCAGCCACTCCGTATGTGTGAATGTGGCCGGCTCACGCCAGCAGCCGGGAATCGCGCCGGCTTTGAATCGGGTTGATGATGAGTCTGTACTGTGCAGCTGTTTCTTGCTGACCACCGCGACTGAAATGTGCTTTTCTTGTGTAGATCACTGTTACAGATGAGGAGGTTAGTAATCCGTCCTTTTTAGATCTGGTGAGAACTCCCCAAATGAGGAAGTGCACCCTTATACTTATGTTTGCTTGGTAAGTTGCAGTTACGATGGATTTAAACGCTTGTGTCAAATTTCCAACGTGCTCTCTCCTTGCAGTCCGGTCAAAGTCGCCTCTCACTGCCTTTCCCTGGTGTCCCCGCAGGTTCACCAGTGCGGTGGTGTACCAAGGACTTGTCATGCGCCTGGGGATCATTGGAGGCAACCTCTATATAGACTTCTTCATCTCCGGAGTGGTGGAGCTGCCGGGAGCGCTCCTGATCTTGCTGACCATTGAGCGCCTTGGACGTCGCCTCCCCTTTGCGGCCAGCAATATGATGGCAGGGGTGGCGTGCCTGGTCACTGCGTTCTTACCAGAAGGTAACCTCCCCCGGGTCTGCTGGATAGTCAGAGAACTTGAAAAACTTAAAATAATCAAGAGTGTGGAGCCACTTGTCCTTCAGAAATGGACCATGACTTCTCAGGCTTGGCACCACGCAAGCGTTAGTGATGCCACTCAGCTTTCTGCCCGTCGGTGTAAAGATGGTGGAGAGAAGGGGTTGGCTCTGTAGGTTTTTCAGTTTTCTCAGTGTTTAGGCCTGTTTGTAGATGAAATAGTGATTGTTCTAAATATGATTTGTACTAGATGTCAGTTACTCCTAACCCTTTGGGTCTCAGTTTTGTGGCGCAGTGGGCGTGGTTTGATGGATTTCTGCTCTCATGCCAAGCACGAGGTCACAGGTGGAAGAAAGACCCTGTTCCTGACTTCAAATGGTTCAGGAGATACAGACATTTCAACACTGGCACAGAGCTGCATGAGAAATGCACTCACGGGACCCTTTGCAAGACTGAGAAGTAGCAAAGGCAAAACAAAAAGTTGGGGGGAAGGATTAGTCCATTGGGTGGAGAGGGTTGTCCCAGGCAAGCTTTGCGGAAGTGAGACGTGGACGTGCACAGAGAGTGGACTGTGCCCGACAGGGAGCAAGGGGAAGGGTGCTTCTCCAAAGCAGACACCTTTGTGGGTTCAGGAACTGAAGGCTGTTGGTTGTCTCCAGAAAGCAGACAAGGAGCCCTGAGAGAGGCTGCTCACTGGCCCTGCAGCTGGGCCAGCAGCTTGGGCACAGTCCTGTGACCCTTCGGAGGAGGGGGGGCAGCGTAGCAGCGGGGCAGTGGCTCTGGGGAGGCAGAGGTGCTGAGAGCAGGGATCGAGGTGGTGCTGGGTGGGCCTGGGCGGAGGACTGAGTTCACTTCCGGGAGGTTGTGCAGGTGAATCTGAGCTTGCTGGCCAGTGGGTCGGGGAGAGGAGGAGGAAGCAAGGGTTACAGTGACCACACGCACCGGGTTGACACAACGCAGGTGACCTCTGTCAGGGGCAAGGCAGGTAACCCCCCAGGGAGGGAGTGAATTCGAGCATATTCATGATTTCCGTGCCCAGGGCTGTGCGTTGGTGTTTGGGGAGAGCTGGGTTCTCTGGTTGGCCTTTGTGTCTGCACACAGGTTGCCTTTGCGACTGCCCTAGAATCGGAAAGGAACTCGTAATGTTGTGGACAGCAGAACAGTCAAGCATTTACAAATGAGCTGATTAGGCAGATGAAGGCTTATGACTTCCAAAAACATCCAGTACATGCTGTTTGCACAAAGTGACAGGAATGCCAGTCTTTAGCCCAGGAAATCGGCTGGGCAGCTCCTGTGTCACTCCAGGGTGGCGGATGCCAAGGAGACGGCCGGCTTCTGTGGCTCTGCCCCCAGCGTTCTGATAAAGCGGCAGAAACCAGCCGGCCGAAAACAGCAGCTGCTGCTGGAGGCCAGAAATCTAGAGCAGGCTGTCTCCAAGGCCGTGCGGAAGGGTCCTTCCCAGGCTCCTTCTCGGCTTCTGGAGGTCGCTGGCCATCCTCACTCGTCTTGGTTGCCACCCCAGTCGCTGCGCCCAACCTATGACTTTCTCTCTGTGCGCCGATTCTGCCTGCAAAGACTATTTCCAAATACGGTCGCATTCTGAGGTTCCAGGTGGGCCTGAGTTTGGGGGAGACACTATTCGACTTCCCACATGAGCCAGCATACTCTAAGCACTGGAAGATGTGTTTTATAGCCACCTGCCAGCGCCGGTCCACTCGGGATCTGTGAACTGCCAGCCACTGAGCTAGGAGAGAGGCGTTGAGTAGAACAAGGTGGATGCGACTCCCGCCCTCCGGAAGTGCGTGATGGAGAGAGTCAGACACGTTGGGGATGTCATTGCTGTTTCTATTTTGCTTTGGTTTGGGGACTAACAGTGCAGCTCTTCCGTTGTCTTTGCGTGTGGAGTAGGGGTGAGGTTACTCATTGTACATGAACATGGGAACCCAGGGAGGGTGGCGCATCACCTGCGGTCAGTGTTTCACCGTGGCCACGTCACCCTGGAGCCTTCCTGTGGGCCCATACCCGTTGGGAGGAGATGAGTGTGTGCTGTGCGTCCAGCCTGGTCCCAGAGAGCGGTCTCGACTGTGTGCGCACCCCAGGGTTGAAATGACTCGGCGGGCGAGATCCAAGCTGTTCTCTAGGAAACACTTGCACACTTTGGAAAATCTCAGGCCAACAGCAGACTTTGTGCTGCGTCCAGTCAGTTCTGTCAGCTGCGCTTTCCCTGTCGGAGCTTTACCGGTGCCTTAGCCGGCCTGGAACCGCTCTCCCGGGACGTATTTTATTGACGTATTCTGCAGAGCTGGCCGCATTCATAGGCACATATTGTTCACGACTGCCTGGCAAGAAGTTGCGCGTCCCTGAAATGAGTTCCAGACATTCACAGAGGTTCCTCCCGGGAGCGGGCAGCCCTTCCAGCCCCAGGCCCTGGACCTGCCTCCGGGGAGGGTCAGATTAACATTCGAGAAGCTCCTCCAGGGGCCTTTCTTGACGTCATCCGTGGGCCCAGAGCCCCTGCACGGAATACTGATGAGCGTTTAGAGAAATCAGCTCTAAAACTGTCCCACAGAAAACAGCGGCCTTGGCTTTGCCTCCCGCGGACCCAACTTTCCGTGATCTGAGATGGAATTCTGGAGGAAGAGCAGTCTTTGTGGCCATATCTTGACCCGAGACTCGCTCCGTGCTTTTGGCCCACATTCCTAAACTCTAGCTGAAGTCTGGAAGACAAAGAACTTGCTTTGTCTGTGCCCACCTGCTTGCTGTCTTTAGTCTGAGTTTCTTTAGATGACCACACACGCCGCCATTGGGGTAGGTCTTCTTTTTCAAAGGAAAAAGTTGTCTTTTGCTTTGATTCCTCTGTAAGTCAGTCCAGTATCCTAATATCCCTGTTGCAACTTTGTACTCAATTTTATTTCACGATGTGGAACGGACCGGACAGTCAGAGGAGACTCGGAACTCTGTTTTTATCTTCTGTAGTGGAGTTGTTATTCATAAGAGAGTTGAGAGAGCCATTGCTTCTCTGTTCTCATCTAAGACACTTTTGGTTGTCGTGTTACCGGAGAACGGCAGGGTCCTTGTCTTCACACAATAAAGAATTCAGGCGTGAGACAGAGAGTAAGTGGAAAGCAAACAGCAAGGTTTATTAGGGCAGGGACATCGGTAAGGACAGATAGACACCTCTTCAGACAGAACCTGAGAGAGAGTGCCCAGTCGCTCAGACTAGGGGAGAGCAAGGTTACATGGTTGAGTGGAGAGATTACACCTGGGCAGGCAGGCGGGCGGCTCAGCAGAGAGGCAGAGGGCTAAGTGTGCCATCGGTTGAGGTTGGGGGTTTTTAAGGGGATGGGCCTGGCCTTCCCAGCTTCTCCTGGAACAAAGGACTTTTTGAATGAAAATACGAAAAATTCCTTTCTGAGTTTTCCCCCTGAAAACTTAGAGGAGCCTTAGAGCAAGGATGGTTATCAGGTAGAAGGGGCAGGGCGTGTTCGAAGTGCAGACACTGGGCTGCACCTGGAAGGTCATTGGGATGACTTTGAGATGCATATGCTGGACCTAGACATCTCCTTAGGCCTTTGTCACACACATAAGCTCATGTCTGACTTCCTACCTAACATTAGCACTTTTTAATAAACTTTTTTTGTTGTTATTTATTTTTCATTTTATTTGAAAGGCACACAGACAGACAAGGAGAGAACTTTCCTGTCTGCTGATTCTATCCCCAAATGACTGTGACATCCAGGGCTAGGCCAGGCGGAAGCCAGGTGCCCAGAACTGATTCTGGGTCTCCCGCATGGATGGCAGAGACCCAAGTACTTGAACCCAACATTTGCTGCCTTCCCGGGTGCACGCTGGCAGGAAGCTGGATCGGAAGCAGGGATGCTGGGACTCGACCTGATCCTGGCACTCGGTCACACATGGCACGCACTGTCCCCTGCAGGGACCTAACCCCTGTCCGAGCAGCTGCCCCAGTGCTCACTTTTTTTTTTAATTTATTATTATTATTATTATTATTTTTGACAGGCAGAGTGGACAGTGAGAGAGAGAGACAGAGAGAAAGGTCTTCCTTTGCTGTTGGTTCACCCTCCAATGGCCGCCGCGGCTGGCGCGCTGCGGCTGGCGCACCGCACTGATCCGATGGCAGGAGCCAGGTACTTATCCTGGTCTCCCATGGGGTGCAGGGCCCAAGCACTTGGGCCATCCTCCACTGCACTCCCGGCCACAGCAGAGAGCTGGCCTGGAAGAGGGGCAACCGGGACAGAATCCGGCACCCCGACCCGGACTAGAACCCGGTGTGCCGGCGCCGCGAGGCGGAGGATTAGGCTAGTGAGCCGTGGCGCCGGCCCCAGTGCTCACTTTAAAAGTGATGTCTGTCACTGCTGCCAGAGGTGTGTCCTGCCTCCCAGGGTGAAGTTAGCCTGCCCCTGGGGTGACACTGCTGCTCCTGGGTCACGTACGCGCTCAGCCTTTTCAGCTGGCGAACAGAGCCGTGCCTGGGGACCTCTCTTTAACACATGTCAGCAGAATGGCTGCCCGCCGCGTGGTTAGCGGCTAACTCCACTGCTTGGAAACGAGTTGAGGGCCACTCAGAGTAAGGTCAGCACGTAGGGCGCACCACATGTCCACAAGGGCTGCTGCTTGGTGGTGTAGTCTGAACTTTGCACTGAACTGAGCAGCCGCTAACCTGAGTTAACCAGTAGTAAGTTTTTCGTGGGGTGCGTGAGTGTGTGTGTGTGTGGACTTTGTTTCCTGGGTTGTGTTTGATCCTTTGTCAAGCATTCCCAGCCTCCATTGTAAACCAAACTCACCATTGTACTTGTTAGTGGGACTTACAGCCTTGATTTGCTAACAAGAAATTCCTGATGGAAGAACCCAGCCTGTGGCTGGTGTTGTGGCACAGGAGTTAAGCCGCCGGCTGTGACGCAGGCGTCCCATATGGGCACTGGCTCATATCCTGGCTGCCCTACTTCCGTCCAGCATCCTGCTAATGCACCCATGAACGCAGAGGAAGATGGCCCATCTGCGTGGGCCTCTGCACCCACGTGGGAGACCTAGAAAAACCTCCTGGCTCCTGGCCTTGGCTCAGCCCTAGCTACTGTGGCTGTTTGGAGAGTGAACCACCAGATGGAAGATACTCTCTCTTCCTCTCTCTCTCTCTCTCTCTGTTGGTCTTTCTTCTCTTTGTAACTCTGCCTAGATGATAAATAGAAACATGTAAAAAAAAAAAAGTAGAAGAACCCAGCCTGGATACTTACCCACTTCCACGGTAGCAGCTGGTCTTTCCCCTGCAGCAAGAGCCCAGGAGTCTGCGCCAGGGGCCAGGACCCAGGGAAACCGGGCGACAGCTCCGTCATCCTTTCCCAGAGCCACCTGCTCGTTAAAGGACAGGGTGGCATATGTTTCCTAGCCCCCCTCCCCGGCCCTGGTGAAGTAGAACATGTGCTGACCACCACTCTGCCCCCCAGCAGTCGGTGGCCCAGTGCATCAGCGCCTCTCGGAGGCTCCTCACTCCCTGGCGACAGGTGGTCTTGCCTGGAGAGACGTCGGGGACCCCAGGGTGTCCTCGGCCAGTTTGCAACTGAATACAGTGAACTGGGCCCCCAGCGGTAACCTGGATTCCTAAGTCACCTTTTCTGCTTGCCCTTCTGGGCAGCGACAGTGGTTGGAATGAGTGAGTTCTTGTTCTCCTGGATTGGTTGAATATTCTCTAGCGAGAACACAGTAAATCTACCTAGCTTGGTTCTCTTTGATACTTCTCACTCATGTCTGCTTCCCTACTAAACACACACATACACACACACACACACGCACGGTGGAGTTACTCTACAAGCGAAGAGAATGATTTCGTGCGGGGTGAGCATTCGCGTGCATATAAAAGGCAAAGTTTCTGTGCGAAGACGAATGCCAGACAGACTCTGGGCGTTCCTGGCCGTGCTTTGGAAGGCAGACGCGGTCTCGTTCATGCAGTCTCATGTCCTCATGGCAAGAAGTTTAGAGCATTGACTTTCTAGAGTAAAAATGATGAACTCGTCCTACCCTTAAATATCGGATAGGATTCCTTTGTGTTTCCCAATAGTTCTTGTGGAAGGAAGGAGGGCTTCTTCCCACAGCCAGAGCCGTCTTAAACAGGATGCTGGCTCAGTCCCAGCTGTCCCACGTCTGATCGCATATCCTGGAAGTCAGCACATGGCAGCCCGAGTGCTTGGTCCACTGCTACCCATGGGGGAGACCCAGATGGAGCCCCGGGCTTCTGGCTTTGGCCTGGGCCCTGGCTGTTACAGCATTTTTGGGGAATGAACCAACCAATGTGTTACCAGTCACGGAGGGGAGGGCGATTGCCAGAGTGAGTCTCCTGAGTTCTTTTCCTCAGTTTAGTATAGAAATAAAATGCCGGGGAACAATTTGCAAAGAGGCAGAAACGTATTAGACAGAAAAGAAACTTTTATCTGATTGACAGGTGACAGAGAAAGCGTCTGGTCCGAGAGGAGAGTGGGACGCTGGCTCTGAGCTAGTGTCCCTGGTTTTTAAGGTGCACCATGTGTTCACTGGGTCATTCTGTGGGGTGCCCATTGGAGAGGGGGTTTCACACACGTATGTCAATTGGCTTGGGGCTCAAGGAGATAGCGGGGTCTCCTGTCAGTCTCCTTAGGGGCTCAGCCCCCTCCCTGCCAGCTCTGGGTGGAAGATTGCAACTAGCTTGAAGGCAGGGTTTAAAACCACAAGGTCACACAAGATCTCCAGGGTCTCCTGGAGCCGGCCCGACTCTCCCCAGGGACACAGCCCCTTGCCCTGCCGGCTCTGAGTGGAAGACGGCACCCACCTGGAGGTGTGATGAAAGCCGCAAGGTCACACGTGCAGCACAAGAAGCTGTTAGTGGGGAGACGCCTATCCGTCTGGAGACAGCTCTCCAGCCACAGCCGGCAGCCTGCTTGTGAGGGAGGTTCTATCTGAGGGGCCCGCAGATCCCAGCCCAGTGGCCGGCCTCACAATGGATGATCACTTCTGCACCTCTCTGTCTCTTCCCACCCCCTTCAAGTAGATGAAAAATAACCACCGACAACTGGCATTTGAGAATGTGGCTCCTTCTGTGAGATGACCTGGGGGAGGTAGCGTGGTTGGCGATGGTGAAGATCGGGCGTAAGCTGCGCCTGAGCCGTAACCCACAGAATAAACGGCCCCCTGTGTCTTGGTCCCTTTTCTGCTGATGCAGCAGAAGAGCCAGACTGGGTGATTTAGGAAAGAGCAGAGGTTTGTTTAGGTGCACGGTTCTGCAGGCTGGGAAAGCCAAGAGCATGGCGCCAGCGTCTGCGTGGTTTCTGGTGAGGGCCTCGTGCTGTGTCACAAAAGGCAGATTAGGAAGTGGAAGAGCTGAAGCGTGAGGGGTGGCCTTGCTTGCTGACAGCCTGCCCTGTGGCCACTGACCCGGCCCTGGGAGCGTTAACCCCGCTGAGAGAGTAGCTTCAATCCAGCCGCGGGAGTGGTCTCTCCCCGACCCCTCTCCCCTGCGACCTAATTGCCCCTAAAGTCCCAGCACCTTTCAGTGCCTTGGCCTGAGTTTTAGACGAGGCAGCCCACATCCAACGCATGGCACCCTCCCAGGGCCTGGTCCTGAAAGCCTTGCTCCTCTGGAATGCAAGGTTGGCTCACGTGGGATTTCCTGGTCGGCTGGGGCCCAGCTGTTCTGTGCATGATCGCTGAGGCTGCAAGCCGAGGGGACGCATGGACTGATGGTGGTTTCCAAGGGCACGGCTGGAAGCTGCCTCCCAGCGAAGGGCTGGGCCCAGGCGCACTCAGGAGGCCCTGTCCAGAGCATTGCTCAGCACCGTCCTCACGCTGTACGTCTAGATCCCAGCCCTGATCAGAGAAGCACCCAGCACCCTCAGACGCTGGCTGTCATCTGGTTGTCATCGCTGTTGTTGAAGCTTGCCTAGCCATATTGGGACGATCTGTCATTTTGTGCTTAAATTTAGCGAAGACGTAGGGCTGGGTGACGCTGAGTGGATGCATTTTACTGTTCTGTGCGATGCCAATGAGCTTGGGCCTCTGACTCTTCCCTCCCACCCTTCTGTGCTTGCAGGGGTACCGTGGTTGAGGACCACAGTCGCTACCCTGGGAAGACTAGGCATAACCATGGCCTTTGAAATCGTCTATTTGGTAAATTCAGAACTGTACCCAACAACATTACGGTAATTCCAACATAGCTCTCGTGGCTTCTCCCCCGTAACTGCACAGCCAGGGGTTTCAGTCGTGTTCCGTGCTGCGATGGTTGTCTTGGCGTGGTGGTGTGGCCCCGGGCTGCATCGCCATCGAAGGGTCAGAGTCTGCCTGCTGCTGTGCCATGGACGTCCTCCTCGTGTCAGGGTCTCCATCCACAGCTGAGGTTTTGTGGAAGGGCACTGGGCTTGAACCAGAAAACCTCGCGGTACACCTGTCTGCCTTCCTTGCCACCACCCTGTCTCCAAGCTCTGGTCTCTTTCTGAGCATGTCTTACATCAGTGAGCATCTGGGATTTGAAGCACAAGATGAAAGCAGTGCCCAGATCCGTGCCAGGGGCCCTCTTAGCTGGGGGCGCAGCCCCTGGGCACGCCACGCGGTGAAGCCAATACAAAGATGGCGCCGAGTCTCCTAGAGCAGGCAGGGTGTCGAGCTGCTGACGGGCGAACACGGGTGTGCCTGCCCCCGACACATCCTCACTGGCTGCACTGAGACGCGCTGCAGAGTGGAAATGCTTTGCTTAGGCTGCAGACAGGAAGGCGTTTTCAAAGCTAAAAATGGTGGAAACAGACAGAATGAGCACCACCCCTCTATTATTTAATAGGCCTGAATATTTTGATTGCTTTTCCTGTTGAAATGCTTGTCATCTAAAACAGTTTTTTTTTATCCTCCAGAAACTTTGGGGTCTCGCTGTGTTCGGGTTTGTGTGATTTTGGGGGCATCATTGCCCCTTTCCTCCTCTTCCGGCTGGCGGCCGTGTGGCTGGAGCTCCCGCTGATCATCTTTGGTAAGAGCCCGCTTCCTGTGCCGCCCTGGGGTGCTTTCTCCGACACCCCTGGCCCCAGCAGAATCCCAGAATCATGTGCGGTTCACTGCTGGGTGACAGGTGTCTGTTTTGAGGAGCCAGTGTGGCGATAGTAGGATTTAAAATCCTAAGTGGTTTTCAAGGATTTATATGAAAGGGTCGGGATTCAGTTTAGCCATCTTTCTTTGGGTTCTGAGTTAAAAGCAAGTCCCATGGAACTCTTATGGTATTGAGGACCCGACTCAGTCACTCACGTTTCCAATGGGTTTAAAAATAAACCTGAAGATTGATTGCACTTTTCGATGTTCTGTGTCAATATCTAAGATGCTATAAGTGCTAGGCCAAAGCAGGAGACACAAACCTACTTCCACGTGTAGTGGGGGCTCTTCCGTGGCTCCCAAGTTTGAGAAGGGGCGGCGCCGTGGCTGGGAGGGCCCTGCAGGGGATTCAGAGCAGGGCTGCGTTTCCCACCCTCTGTTCTCGCGGCAGAGGGCCCGGCTTGGCCCTTTCTCACCTCCATCCCCTCGGCAGGTGGGTTTTCACTGGGCAGTTGAGATTTGAGTGAGGTTAGTGCACGAGGACGTGCGTGCTGAGCCTCGCACAGCTGGTTGGAGCACACTGGGGAACAGAACACCAGTGAACTCAACAAAAGTTCATCTCCTTACTCCACGGGGTTTAGGAACCACTCAGTACTCACTCCGTAGCCGAGGCGAAAAAGCAAAGGAAGAGAGTGCCGTGTCCAGCAAGGCCAGAGCAGTCCCGGGGGGAGACACAGCAGCTAATCCCTCAAGCCCGCGGCCAGAGCTGGGGCTGCAGCGGGGAGGGACACAACCTTCCCAAACCCCGGTGACGACAGAGCCTGATGCGTGTGCTGGCTCCTGCCAGTGTGGGAACATCACTGGGACACCTGACCCCGCTGCGTGGAGGAAGCAGCTCTGTCCAGGCTGCGGCCGGAAGAGCAGTGGGAACCCCGCTTGGGACGGGCGTGGGTGGTCAGGCAGTGACAGGCCCAGCCTCGGGGGGAGTGGACTGAGCCCAGTGTGTGCCGTGGGGCCTGCAGGGAGAGGGCAGGGATGGGCCAGGCCACATCACGGAGGTCTCCCCCAGCGTGTGGCGGTTTGGCTCTGTGTCCAGACAGCAGGGGAAGCTGTGGCAGCTCACGCCCGGGTGGACAGAGCTGCACTTGCATTTGTTGCTAGGATTCTGGTGGCAGCCACACTGCTTCATCACACGGGCGCTGTGCTGGCTACGGGGAGACTAAACGAAGGTGGTAACTGAGAAAGAGAGCAAGTTGCCGGGACTAAGAAGTGGATGGGGGTGAGGGGAGCAGACAGACCCCAGGCCAGATGGGCAGGATGGGACAGTCGACAGGGCCGGGGCAGTGGGAGCAGTGAGCTGGGCAGGCAGGCCCACGGTGGGACCGCAGGTGAGCCACAGGCCCTGGCCAGCGACCCCGGAGCCACGGGACCTCAGGAGGAGGGTGGGGGCTCTAGGTGGGTCTCGGGCAGTGTGGGGCACTTCTGAGGATCCGACACTGCTGAGCTCAGGAGAGAAGCAGGGCCTGGCAGTGGAGATGGGGAAGCCGTCGGAACGTAGCCCCTGCGGAGGCCGGGGAAGGACCGAGATGCCCAGGAAACTGAGGCTGGGGAGATGGGAAGGGGCGGGAGCAATGGGGGAGACCAGGCGAGTGGGCAGGGACGCCGAGGGCAAGGGGGCGAGACCAGACCACCTGAGGGCCTGACGCTGCGCCGTGCGATCTGAGTTAGCACGCAGGGAGGCTGTGGGGCCACGGCAGTGTAGACCAGGGGAACGTGGGGTGTGGCCCACAGCAGTGTTCTGGGCAAGGCTGGTACTGTGGCAGTCCACTGTTACATTTTCAAGAATTTCGTCAGCATCATTAAATATTAGAGAATACAGGGAGCAGGCCTTCAGCCCAGTGGCTACGAAGCTCGTGTCCTGCATCAAGGACCTGGGTTCAAATCCCAGCTCTGGCTCCTGGCAGCAGGTGATGGCTCACATAATTGGGTTCCTGCCACTTACATGGGAGACCTGGCTTGAGTTCCTGACTTCCAGCTTTGGTTGGCCCAGTATCGACTGTTGCAGGCATTTGGGTGTGAAAAGCAGATGAGAGCTCTCTGCTTGTCTCTCTGCCTCTCTTATTAAACACTTTAAAAATGTGGGGCAGGTGTGGTGTAGCACGTAAAGTCACCACCTGCAATTCTGGCATCCCATATGGGTGCCAGTTCAAGACCCGGCTGCTCTACTTCCAATCCAGCTCCCTGCTATGGCCTGGGAAAGCAGCGGAAGATGGCTCAAGTGCTTGGGACCTTGCCACCCATGTGAAGCCAGATGAAGCCCTGGTTCCAGCCTGGCTCAGCCCCGGCCATTGCAGCCATCTGGGGAGTGAACCAGCAGATGGGATATGTCCATTTGTCTCACTCTCTGACTCTCAAATAAATAAAACAATCTTTTATTTAAAAATATTGGAGTCAAAAAACAGAAGCACTATTATACAGAATTAACTCCTAATCTTTTGGCTGCAGTTTTTTCCTGTTCTCTGTGGTCTGGAGGTTGCCCTGGAATCTGTGCGTATCTCTGTAGAAATGCTGCAGACAAGAGCCCTGCTGGGCTTAGCTCTTCCCTGTGCCACACTCAGTGCCACTGTGTCAGCACCCACACTGGAGTGTTTACACCGCAGAAATGGGCACACGCATGCTACCCATCAGGGCTAAGTGTTAAACACTCACCAGCAGACAAGTAGGATGTACAGATGTGGAGAAAACAGGCGAAGATGGTGTAGCAGAAATTTTGGCTCCAAGGAGCGGGATGGGGGTGGGGTGGTCGCTGGAGGGAAGGCCCAGTGAGGACAAGAGCATTGAGAGTGTGGGATGCCCCCACCCACAGGTTCTGGATGCTGGGCAGAGGGGAGCGATCACCCTAGTGAGGAGCCCAGACAGGCCTGGGCGAGGGCTTCCCGCAGTGGGCAGAGTAGGGACCAGTCCCACAGTGGAAGGAGCCAGGGGCAGGTGGGAGAGGACGCGGCTGAGTGCCGGTGCCGGTGCTGGTGCCAGTGCCGGTCAGTGGGGTGGGCAACTCCTCTCCAGGGGCTTCTGCTTCCCGTGTGACACAGGGAGGGGGTCTGGAGTGCTCAGGGCTCCATAGGCCCCCGATCTCGATAATTAATTGTCAATCCCCAATCTCGGTAATGAACTGTCCATTAGTAGGAGAGCGAATGTGAGCCAGGAGTCTAGGGCTTGAGGAAGGAGAAGGGCAGAGGACGACTGTGGAGGGGGTGTGGCAGGGCGGGAGGGGCCCGCCGAGCACTCTGCGTTCCTGGGGCAGACGTAACGCCCCCCTCCTTTCTGCAGGTGTCCTGGCGTCTGTCTGTGGTGGCCTCGTGATGCTTCTGCCGGAAACCAAGGGAATAGCCCTGCCAGAGACAGTGGACGACGTAGAAAACCTTGGCAGGTATCGTGCAGAATTCAGCGCATGCTGAACAGAGGCCAGGCTTGTGAACACTGGGGGAAGGGTGGCGTTGAGGAAGTGGGGTACCCAAGGGGAGAACATTCAACCCCCATCTCTGAGCCCCAGGCTCAGCGGCAACACCAGGGGAGATGTCAGAGGTTCCTGTCACAGGAGACCCAAAGCTAGAAAAGAATGCATCTGGTTTGGAGAGGAGGGACCAGTGATGTGCCAGAGTGGAAGGGACTCGGCCGAGGAGGTCCCCGTGTCTCAGTGGGGATGACTGTGCAGAGTGGAGGCATCGTGGTCTCTACGGGGTGACGTGGGAGGCAGCTTGAGATGGATTCCAAAGTGAAACATTGCTGAACAATCAATAGTGTTTATTGGAAAATAAGACCTGTAGCAGCCTCTATGGCTGGCTGAGAAGGTAACTGACAGGTGGTAGGTAGGTGGGTGCATAGAGACACACAGTGAGATGTGGTTAGAGATAGGAAGACAGGAAAGTGAGAAAAAGAGAGAGAATATCGGAGGCAAGTGTAGACAGTGTGCAGCTTATTTATTGGTTAGTACCCAACCAATAAATAAGCATGAAGATTTATGTCAACTAAAAAACTGCATTACACAAATCATTTCTGATGTTGTGTGCTTGACATTATTTCATAAAAAAATGTATAGTAAAATATCTAGAATAATTCTATACCTCCTCCGGGGGTGGAAGGGGGTGTGGAAAGAAGGACCTATCTCTTTCAAATCTGTGGACTTTGGGGTTATTGGATTTTTTTTTTCAATTAGAACACGTGGGCTTATATTATTTGTGTCCTTGCTAAAATAATTGAACAGCTAATTTAAAAAGTAGAAATCCATCTTCTTAAAAAAGACTTGGACATTAATAACATAAGCCTCTTAACGTATCAAAATATTTATAATGTATCAAATATTTATAATGTAGCAAAAGTATTTATAAAAATACTGCAATTATGGGGGTCTCGGGGCAGGTTCTTTCTTCCATTGCTGATTGTAAAGAGGCGAGAAGCTGGCCTATTTTAAGCTCCTATAGGATTGACAGTTCCACATATAATACACAAACGCTACGTGCAATAGAAACGCGTGTCCTCAGGTTTTATACCCAGCAGATCAGAAGGATCTCACGCCCTGTAGATGCCGGCACGGGGTGGATGCTGCCCCGTGCAGAGGCGAAGCCCTCCTCATGCAGTTGTATTTTGTGCTGGGGGTGCTTCAGTAGTGAGTGTCCTTCGGGGGGACTGGAGATTCCTCTCTCGGGTCCTCTCTTCATCAGGTGCCACCTCCCCCTCAAAGGTAGGCAGCTGCTGCCGAGGTCCCTCAAGTGTTTGACCGGACCTTGAACGCTGGGCGGGGTGTGGCTGTCATTGTCCTGTCTTGGGGATACTCTTTGGAAAGATAAGATTGATGAATTAGCCTCAGAGCTTCCCTAAGAAAGGGCTGCTTTGCACTCAGAACCACCAGCGGAGCCCTCATTGGCTGCCTACTAACGGAGCCGGCCAGTCTCGGGTAGGCAGGCATTTGATTTCTCTGCCGGTTTGGCAGATTCCTCACCCTGACGTCCAGCTAACTCTCACCCTGGAACTGCACTCCCTCAAGTTGGAATAGGATGGGCGTTTCCCTGAAAGACCTTGCTATTTGTGGAGCAAAGTTCAGAAAGAAGTGGACAAGCTACACAACTGTGCGAAGTCCTCCCGAGGCTTCTGCCACCCCAGGGCCTTGCTGCATCCAGAGCTGAGACAGACTGTGCTGCTTGTCCCAAATGGAGGTCGTTTGAGTGGCATCAGGGAACAGAGGCTGGGTCGGGGGCAGGGGACATGTTAGCTAAATTCATTGGATCCAGCCCCCAGCCTTGAAGAACAATCTGGTAGAAGTATGATGGATGATTCTACAAATTAGACACATTCATTGAGATCCATGATTGTTTTTGTCCCTCTGGGAAAAAACTGCCCGGAGCCCAATACTGACACTGGCCATTTGCTACCTTGTGTTCATTTCCAAACCGCATTCAGGAGCAATTGGAAGGAACTTCCTGCCACCATGTTACTAAGTTACATCTGAACACTGTCCGGAAGTAAAACCCAGCCGGCAGGCAGGCGTTTTGTGCTTGTGGAGTTGGGGTTTTGAGAAAGGTGGACGCGGGTGCCTTGGTGAAGACCAGCCATGGTCCTGAGCGGGGGCGGGCGGGCTGTGGTCTCCGCAGCTGCGTCATCTCCCACCAAGACCTCACGTGTCCTCCTTTGCTTTGTCAGCCCACACTCCTTCCGGTGTCGCCGGAAAAAGAAAAGCCCGGTGTGCAGCTCTCACCTTTGAGGCCCCGGCCGGGGGACACCGCTGTCCCTGAGAAGCCACCGTGCCCCGCAGAAGCCGCCTCTCCCCTCCAGCTGCTGCGCTGCGCTGTGCCGAGTGGCTCTGACACCGTGTGAAGACATTCAGGCTACCCAGCTATCTGTCCGTGTTTGTGGAATAGGATTTATCATGCTGTTGACCTTTCTGGGACTCCCTAGCAGCTGGCTGGGTTAGCAAAGAGCCGCGGGGGCTTGGCTTGTGTCGGAGCTGTGGAACCTGACCCGTTGAGTCAAAGAGACGAGAGAAGCCCCCCGCCCCCGATTCTCCTGACAGCTCCATCGAGAGTGCAGGATGTGCGAACGTGGACCTGGGAAAGCTGCACCTGCGTGTGTTCATTAACTCTGCTCAGAGGACAAAGCCCCCGAGCGCGGCGTTGTACAGACTCCCCGGGGGATGGGGCCTGTTCGCCAGTGGCTCAGCTGTGGACCGGAGCCTGGGCTGCTCTGCCTCGGGTTCCTGAACTCCAGGACACCCAGCCGCCCTGCACAGCACTCCCCGGCGGTGTTGGGTTCCGGGCACAGTTGGCGTCCTGGTCTACCAGTGAGGACAGACCTGCGGTGCCATCGGAGGACCTGGCTCTGCTATATATGCTCGGGTTTTGACCCTGGGATTCTGTGGGACACGTTTGGTCCTCCTTTTGTGGACACATAGAGCCACAGGTGCAGTTTGGGTTTTTTTATGCTCAACAACAACAACAACAAAACCCACGGATTAGGCTTTCGCGGGCCACAGGATTTTCACAGTAAAGGGATATTTACCTTACACTCGTGAGTTCAGTGCCCATGGTCAAGAGTGAGAAGCATGGCCGCTTCTCACCCAGTCTTGGTGCTTTTGAGTCATTTAGGGGAAAAGCTGACATCTTAATTTAAAAGAAAGGTCCATTAAATCATTAAATCCACGCTCGCAAGAAACAGTGGCTTTGTAGTGGATTCACGGAGCTAAGAAGGGGGTGGAGCTTGTTGTAGTTAAGGCTTTGGAGACGGAGCTGAAACCCGAGGGCCAGGTTCTCCTTTGCTGCACCTGCTGTGTTTTCAGACTCTGTATCCTACACCAACTTTTGAATGAGATGCTTCGTGGACAGGCAAAGTGGGGGCAACAGCGCCTTTGGCCAAGAAGGCAGAAGGTGTCCACATGGAGAGCCAGGGAGCACCCCCACGCTGCGGGTTCTAGCTGTAGACAAGCTCCCGGGTTCTTGGAACACCCGGAAGTCGGATACAGCTCGCGGAGGCGTGACAGCCCTGCCTTCGCGGACTCTTGCATTTCTGCTTCTCTCTGCATTTCTTTGCTGTAAGATCACTTTGCTCATTGCCACTGTCACCTGGAAACTGTATTTGGAGTTGATATTTTTTTTGGGTAACAATAAATCATTTTAAATTGTTAAGAAAACCCATCATCTCTTTCTGTCTCTCTCTTCTAAGCGTGTGTTACTGTAGAACGCTGCCCCTGTGCCACAGTGGGCACTGTGTGCTGTTTCCAAACAGGGCAGCCAATTAGAGACGGAAAACAAGTGGCTGCCTTCAGGAGTGCCTCGTTTGACCTCTGCAGGCTCCTCCCGTGGCTCCTGGACCCAGACGTGACCCAGATAACATGCAGACTCAGCGTTACACGCCTTTACACACATTACACATTACACACGCCTTACACACTCCACTCCGTGACACGCGACTCTGCTGCAGTCCCCTGTGCTGGGCTACAGTGGAGTCATCATAACAGACTTCAGTCCCCAGAATCGCACGTGTCCCGACGCCCCACACATAGGGCAACTTTGTAGGCATTCATCTCTGAGCCGGAAGGAAAGACATTGGAAACTCGTGTTGGGGGGCTGGTGCTGGGGTGCCATGGCTTAAGCAGCTGCCTGTGTTGCCGCCATCCCACTTAAGCACTGGTTCCAATCCCAGCTGCTCCACTTCCTATCCAGCTCCCTGGTGACGCACCTGGGAAAGCAGTGGAAGACGGCCCAAGTCCTTGGGCCCCTGCCACTCATGTGTGAGACCCGGAGCCGTGGCCACTGTGAGCCATCTGGAGAGTGAAGCAGCAGATGGAAGACCTCTCTCCCTCTCCCCCACCCACTCTCTGCCTTTCAAATAAATAAGTAAATCTTTGGATAAATAAATAAAAGGAGTCGTGTTGGGCCATGTGTAGCTGACGGATGGGGTGAAGCACAGGTGACTTCCCAGGTCTCTTCTCTTGCAGACTTCCTAGTCCTTATGAACACGAGGTACCTCCCTCCAGTCTGCTTAAAGTTGGTAAAAGACGAATGAAGAACCGAGATATGCAGGGACACCCCAGCCAATGAGCTCAATCAAGTAAGTACAGTGTTTATTCACCATCAGTGGCACAGCTGTGTTGCCTGATTCTTACAGAATCCAGCAGTCCTTTAGCCACACACATACAAGAACACTGAGAGCTGGCGGTAGGTGACAGCGAAGTGCGGTGCCTTGATTCCTGTCACCTCCTTCCAAGACACCAGATCCCCTACACGGGCTCCAGCCTCTGGGGAGCCTGATGCTTCACCACCGGTCTCCCATCCAATTAATTATTTCTCATCGTTCTTTCAATCCAATCAACAAACCTTGAGACACGAACATAGACGCCAGGCTTATTGGGACGCGCACAGCCAAGACCCCAGGAGGTGACTCCTTGTAGGATGTATTTGTCTTTCTCAAAGCAAACCAGAGGCCCACCGCTGTCACCCTGCATTGGGGGGAGGGCAGAAGAACTCCACGTGAGGCTCAAGCTGCCAGCCCGCTACTACGGGATGCCGGTGGGTTTCCCCAGCGTTTGAAACCGGAAAGGGACTTAGTGTCATATTGTGTGTTTAAGTCATCGTCAGTGTATTCAGGGGAGCCCAACCATGCAGCTCCCCCAGGGGAGAGGGCCTCCTGCACACTTGTCCCCCACCTCCTGCCTGGGGTTTCTTTGGAGCCAAGGCCGGCTTGGGCAAGATTGCAAAGTGGGCGCAGTGGGTCTCTGTCCTATACCCCCTTTCCTTACTGGAAGGGCCCCATCTCAGTCCCTGCCCACCTGCACGCTCCTAGGAGGTAGGTAGGGCGCTTAGCCACCCCCTGGAACGCAAAGCCAGAGGAACCACCTTCCATCATCTGAATGAGCACCCAGGGACCTGCAGGGCTTCTGAGCAGTGCTGAGCAGCCTTGAATTTGCTCTTTGGGACACACTGTCTGGGGCCCACACGGGCCAGTGTGAGACCAGCTTGGGTGTCCAGAGCCGGCTTACCTGGCAGCTGTCCGTGCCGCCTGCCAGGTGCCCAGCACACAGCTCCGTGGACCTGACTCTTCCGTTCAGGTACTCGAATCGATTGCACACCTTGTTCTCAATCACAGGCAACTGCGCTTCCTTGAGAAGGCCAGCGCCGTAGGTCCCTGTGTCCGAAAAGACGAAGGAAGCGGCTTAGACGTGTCACAAGGAAGCTTCCGGAACAACAGGGCAGCAATGATAGATGCCCTGCGTGTCTGTGCAGTTGGATGACGCCAGCAATCAGTCCCTAAGACTGCTGGGACTCTGCAGCCTTGAACGCATAAACATTTAAGAGTCTGTGTGCCCGAGACCTGGCTTGAACAATCTGGGTTTCTTTGCGGTGGTCTGGATTTTGTTGTTTATTTGTTTACCTTTTCCTCTTTTAAAACCATAAACATTTTTTTAATATGGAGATGAGTTTAAGAAATGCAGTTGCTACCCCCCCCCCTTTTTATTAAATGATTCTTTTCCGGGCTTTTTATATGCTTCCTTTACTACCTGTATTATATTGCACCGAAGCCGATTCTGGTTTTTTACCCATGACTGCAGCATAAGGACATCTGATGGAATGCTCCGGTCTTGTGACTAGGATGCTTGTGACAGGCATGTTTCCTGGTGGAATGAGAATGTTCTGGAAGGTG